CAGAGCACACAGCACACAGTGACATGTGTTCTCTGCTTTTAACCCATCCTAGTACCAGGAGTCTAGAACTAGGAGCAGTGGGCAGCTATTGTACAGCGCCCAGGGAGCAATGGGAGTTGGGGGATGTCTGGTGCCTTGCTGAAGGGCACCACAGCAGGGCAGGAGGTGAACTGGGACCTCTACAAGTAGCAGTCCACACTCCATATGTTATGGTTGGGGACTTGAACTGGCAACCCTACAGCTCCCAGTCCAAGCCCCTACTGACTGAGCCACTGCCGCACATACAGTTAAGCTCGAACACACTATTTTATGAACATTTGGCTTCATCTACTAAGAACACATTTAATAAAGAAAGTGAAAACCATAAAGCAGTCAGTACAGAACAGTAAGCTTACAAAGAAGCAATCAAATCTGATCTCAAACAGTATAATGCTCTTTTTAGGGTTAGGGTTAGGGGTTTGGCAACATTGTAATCCTGCAAGTAATCCCCAATATTAAAAAAAGGAAAACAAATTCTTATGTAGGCCTAACTGTAGGGGACCAGATACTTTTATTTGTATCCTGATTATCCCTTTACGTGTAATAGGTTACTCCCCAAGCCTTGAACCATGGCATCACTGCAAAGACCATGAAGTGTTCTGCAGAGTATAACAACAACAAAAAGCTTAAGAGTAAAACCTAGGAGGATAAAACCAACAGATTGTGGGAAATGACAGCCATTCACACACATTTCCCTTCCTCTTTATCAGCTGCCAATCAAAAGCCTAACCCCCCCTGCTTGATCCAACACAGCTTTGCCAAGGATCAGCGGCACTTACAAGCTGCCCTTCTTTCAGCACCCATCATGTATGCGTATGTCTCAGCATCTGACACCATTCCCTGCATCCCCCTGAGCTTCTGTTTTTACAACCGCAAGCGTCTTCACCACACCAACTGCCAGCCGCCACACTCCTCCCATTTGAAGCTGTTATATCGCTCATTCGGTCATCTGCTAACTGAGCTTGAAACAATTTCTGCTCCAGGGTTACAGCTGCCCATCTGCACCGTTTTGACATCCGAGTCGCAAGAGGGATAATTGAGAGGGAGAACGTGCTTTCTGCTGTTCCCTCGCAGTAAGTAGAGGTGGGAGGAAGTGGAGTTCAAATACTTCGTTACTGTACTTAAAGGTGGGTTAGGTAAGTTTGAGAAACTGATTCGAGATACACTTTTTGTTATATTCCATGGAATGCTCTTAACATTCCGATAGCAATGAATATCTGAAGTGCTTTGACTAAAAATCCATAAAGAAATGTCATCTGTGGAAGCCGTGGCGCTGTAAAAAGCACGACCAATCATCTGAGCTGGCCCGGTTAAAATAACTGGATGGCCTACCTGCCTGTCAGCCTTCCATCTGTGCACAAACTTATCTCGTGCCCTCATTGGTCATGTGCGCGTTCGTGAGTGTTGGAGGAGGGGCTCTGTAAGGAAGTCTGAAGGAAGGGGCAGATTTTTTCCGGCTGTGTATTTTCAAATTCTAGCGCAATCGAGCTGGTTTCTCCAAAATTACCTACCCCACCTTTAAGTCCATGTTTCTGGTATCAGTACTTTACTCAACTACTTATTTTTCTGACGACTTTTGACTTTGACTTGAACCCAAATACCTGTACTTTCTACTTCTCACATGTTGAACCCAAATACCTGTAACTTTTACATACTTCTTACTTTCTAACACAAATACCTGTACTTTCTACTTCTTACATGTTGAACTCAAATACCTGTACTTTCTACTTCTTACATGTTGAACCCAAATACCTGTACTTTCTACTTCTTACATGTTGAACACAAATACCTGTACTTTTCTACTTCTTACATGTTGAACTCAAATACCTGTACTTCTACTTCTCACATTTTCCCAAACAGGCTGGTTCCTTTAGTTTGAATGTGGTGTTTGGTGTGATAATTTATTATTTAGAGTCATTGCGTGCTACTTGATTTGAACACGATCCGTGATCTCATTTCTGGTCTTCTCTAAGAAGAGGGACCCAAGAAAACGTTTGTCATGTTGCCGTTGTTCAGCATTTGGAATACATTCATTAGCTAACAATGACATTATTTGTTCATTAATACAAAGGGAGGGTCCACTGTACTCTTAAAACAGCTGCTAGTTATGGGACTTTTTACTGATAGACATCTTCAAAGCCTCTTTTAGCTTTCACTTTGACGTAAAAGAAACTGAAGTTTAGTCAAGTATTCTACTTTCACCAGAGTATTTTAAAACACGAAGTATCTGTACTCTACTTGAAGAACAGGATGTGAGTTACTTTCTGCCAATCTCTGGTTTGAAGTAATGGAACGACACGTTTATCTGCGTGCCTGCAGCGGTGTTACTCACAAGGACCTGTGTTGTGTCTCTACAGTTGTGTATGAAAGCTTTATAAAAGGTTTTGTTTTTGCTTTTGTTCTCTGCCTAATCTCTTTTTTAGAGATACACTAATCCAAGAGAGACACAAAGCAAAGTGGGGGAGTTTAATATAATTTGTTTTGGACAGAATTCAATTCCAGACCTGCATGTGGATCCAGAGGGTGGAGATTTACAAAGGCCCGGTGGCTACAAAATCACACACCACTACACAACACACACACACAACACACACACACACACACACACACAACACACACACACACACACCCACACACACTCTGTCAAGTAAAAACACCTGTACATGCAATGAAGACCAAATAGAACAGCCCTGGCATTGGATTTTCCACTATAAGTATGATTTTACTGGAACTATAATCTCTTAAAAACAAGCGTTGATTGCAGTCAACATTTTACGTTCAAATATCCAAAGTAGCAACTTTGTCAATACCCCAACCTCTTTCATTTATTGGTTGATTTGTAATATTTTGATCACATTTTCTCTTTATCACTTTAAAGGAGGCTCTATTTTGCTTTTTGGGGTTTCCTTAACTGTAGTATGTTATAAAGGTTGTGTGCATGTAAATGGTCAGCTTAAATTCCCTGGTTCCCCATCATGACATCACTATTTCACACTTCTCACTTCTATTGACTAGCGCTCAAACACATGTGCGCTATTATGCAGAGTAGGCAATCTCGTAAGCCGTCGTAGCCAATCACAACAGAGCCATCCAGCTAACCAATCCATGAGCAGACTGGGCTCTGTATCAGACAGAGGGTGAAACAGACGGTGGCTGCAGACAGGGCAGTATGAAACCCCATTTACACGGAACGTTTGCGTTTAACGCCACCGAATTCATTTTCAAAAAGTCTCCCGCTCACCACACTTCGGCTCATAACGCTCCGTTCACACGAGGACCACTGGAACGCTGTTATACATGATGGCCGGGGCCGTAAGTGGTATAACAAAATACGCCAAAAAGGCAGCGAAGAAACCCCCTGAGGCATGGTGCCATGGTTGCCCTTCTGTTTTTTCTCCACGGGGATTTAGCAACATGTAGTTCATAGTAGTTCTCCATGTCCACTTGTTCGCCTGATGGTTGTGTAGGGAGCTGTGATTTTGCCACTACTCTGAGCATGCGGCAGGTAGCTACTGACATGTAAAGGGCTACTGGGCTATGGTTCAATCGGTATCAGGATAATGATCGTATAGGGCGTAAACACCGAGCCGTTTGGCCCTCCAGAGCGTTCCGGTTGCAGATCTATTCAACCTTGGGACCCGGTTACCTTTGAGGGGTCCTTTCCGCGGGGTTCCGTTACGGCCCCGTGTGAACGAACGGGCTATACGCGAGAGAAAGAACTTCGGATACAACCCGTTTCGTTCTCGTGTAAACCACCGCTCTGAGGAAACATAAAAGTGCTTTTTGAAACATTAAAGCCATGAGACATTCACACAAATATAAATATGAACCTTCGAATTTGAGCATATGACCTAAGAGAACCTTTATCAAAATGATATTTCATTCTTTTATTCCACTTGTATATTTGTTTACTTTGTAGGGCCTTTAGAAAGAACTGAACAAACCGCGATGGACATTAAGCATGCTGATGTAAGCCATGAAGCGACTCTCATAATGGAGAAATGGTAAGAAAATCTTTAGCGAAACAAAGGAGAACCTCTTTTACAGCGCTTATTAATTACCAGCACAAAGTGCATGTCCTCCAGTGGTTAGTTTAAGAAAGCCTGGAACGATAAAGCATTTCCAATAATGGAGGCTTGAGAAGGCAATGGGAGAGTGACTGGCCAACTGAAAATATTCTTAAATTCAGAATCAGCACTTTATTGTTGGACTACATTTGCCTCAACGAACTGCCTCATCTTTCAACACTCTCTTAATAATGTTATTAAATAGATGGAGCATACACACGTTAAAGGTTTTATGGAATTTAAAAGTAGACTCAACATAGAATAAGTTTCGACATTCTTAACCCCAGAAGGAGATGTTTTTCCCTTGGCCGAATGCAGTACGTTTTATTCATCCTTTGTAGTAATGTCCTCGACCATTAATTGCAGTGGCCCATAAAGTGCATTTTATGTACGGATTCATATACTGCAGGGGCACTCTGTACGTGCAAGACAAAAGACCGCCTCGGGGAAAGTGGCGCTAGTGAGAAAGATACACTTGACTCAAAATAGCCTGCAGGACACAAAACCACATGCATGTATCATATAAAAACATACATGTGAAACATAAACCCCAACACACGAAACACGACGCACGCGCACGCACACGCACGCACGCACGCACGCACACACACACACACAACACACACACACACACTAGGTTGTTCACAATACCATATTTTACTGTCACACATTTTAATAGTAGTCGGACTAGTCGACTCAGTCGTTACGTTATGTAATAAAGACACACAAAGAGAGGCGTGCTACAACTGTTATTTTGTATATTGGAAACTCATACAGTAACATTAAAGCACTATTTTAATTTGTGTTACATGGGACTGAGATAAATAACAAAAACAGTAGGCCTAAGCTGGACTCACCAAAATCGACAACAAAAAACTCTATGTATATCATAAATGCCAAGATAAAATCCAAAAAGATAGACGCAACACTTTATTCGGCTGTCCCACGATAACGTCCACCTTTCCATAATTTGTTGAGTTTGGTTTGAACAACACGCATCGGACATGTGAGGGGAAAAGAAAACATCGACAAATGAAGGAGAAATGACGGCTTAACGACACCACCTGGAAAAAAACCCTCTCACTCAGAGGTGCATGTGGCTGGAATAGCCAGGTAGGCGCTCGAAAGACGGAGATAAAGAAACGGGCACGTTTCTCCACCACTCCAGTGGAATGATAATCCATTGTTGGGATATGCGGTGTCCGCTGCAAGTAATCCCATCATCAGCCGCATCACTGTTGACCGTGTTGTCTTGCTGTTCGTTTTGCCTCTGTCAAGTGCTGACGCCGTCGTGCTCACTGCGAGCATTAAAAAACTGCTATTGGCTAGCTGTCGGTAGCGGGTGTCTGTATTTCGATGTTGCGCTATAGCAGATGAATTTTGTATTGTACTTCAGACAGCTGTACCAAACTGACACTCACTGTGGAGTTGATATACATCTCTCAAATTGTGTGAGATGAAAATATCTAACACGAACGATGAAAATCGACCGTGTGGGAGCATTGCCACACGCGTACGTCAGTCAACGACTAGTACAACTAGACCTATACAGCCGTTGCT